GTGTGCATGCATGGAATGTGTGCTCTCGTGTGTGCATGCATGCAATGTCAACATGAGAGCAAAGGGGAAGGCTGGGAAGGGACAGCAGACAGGCGAAGGGGGGGAGAGGAGAGAGGAGAAAGGAAACGGGGGCAGGGGACCAAGGAAAAAGGAGAGGGCAGAGTGCAGAGAGACGGAGACGGAACAGGAGAGCTACGCAGAGGGATGGCAACAGAAAAAAACGAAACGAAAACGAAACACACCCAGCAAAAATGGTTGCAACAGCGGCAAAGTCAATGCCGTGATTTGGCGTGACCGCTACCGTGATTTGGCGTGGAATGCCGTGATTTGTATTTGGCACCCTGAAACCAGGCCGAACCAAACCCGAACGACCACAACTCGAACCAACAAGCCGACCTCGGCCAACATTACAGAAGCTAGGTGCCGTAATTGTGCCCAACCAGCCGCGATTGCAGCAACCGCTACCGTGATTTGTAGCTACCGCTACCGTGATTTGTAGCAACCGCTACCGTGATTTGTAGCAACCGCTGCCGTGATTTGCAACTGCTGCCGTGATTTATAGCAACTGCTGCCGTGATTTGTAGCAACCGCTTGCCGTGATTTGTAGCAACTGCTGCCGTGATTTGTAGCAACCGCTGCCGTGATTTGTAGCAACTGCTGCCGTGATTTGTAGCAACTGCTGCCGTGATTTGTAGCAACTGCTGCCGTGATTTGTTGCAACCGCTGCCGTGATTTGTAGCAACTGCTGCCGTGATTTGTAAAAGCCACCGAGAGTAAAGTATGTATGTATGTATATGTATATATATATATATATAGTATATATACATGTAATTATAACAAAATGTACAGTATGTTAGCTATATATATATATTATAAAGAGTTATATATAAATGTATATACTATAAATACATGTAGTAATTACATTATATATAAACCTATTATTATATAACATAACAAAATAATATAATGTAATCGGGGCTGCCTGCCTTTGCTCGCATGAACAGGAAGCAATCCTTCGCATATGTGCATGATGTGCACTATAAGAGTACATGGTCTGTGCATATTTATGCATGACATTCATGCATCATGTGCGTGTATCTATAGACACGTAGACGCATGCACGTCACATCTCTCTCTCTCTCTCTCTCTCTCTCTCTCGATCACATGCAGCCCGGCCCCGCCCAGCCATCCCTCCCGATGCTGTTTGTCTGTTTCGGTCTGTCTGTCTGTCTGTCTGTTTGTCTGTCCGTCTATCGTTTGCAAAGTTTCGAATGAGTGAGATGCAGTGAGATTCGATGGGAGAGGGCATCAAGCATTAATGCATATGCTGTGCTGAAACAACACTCATGTGCTGAAGCATTTGGCTTGGAAGTTTTTGCTGCGGTGCTGCGGCCATGACGAAAGGGAGAGGGCATCAAGCATTAATGCATATGCTGTGCTCAAACAACACTCATGTGCTGAAGCATTAGCTTGCAAGTTTTTGCTTCGCTGCTGCGGCCATGACGAAAAGTGATGTCACCCACCGTGTTTCCACGAAACGCCAGCAATCCAGAGATGCAGCAAGCGAGCCGGGCAAAAAGCATCGGGTTTCTACTGGCTCTGGGAGCCAGAAAAGTTCAAAGCCGGAGCAGAAGTCAAAGAGGAAAGCGGAGCCATCCGATGCAGAGGTGGCTCGGCAAGAAAAGTTGCTGAAGGCGGCGGCGGCGTCTTCTGTGCAACCAAAAGACCAGAAGCCGAAGAAGGAGAGCAAGGGAGAGAAAGAAGCCAAAGACCAGAAGGAAACCAAAGAAGATAAGAAGGACAAAGAGAAGAAGAAGGAGAGCCAAGAGAAGAAGGAAAGCAAAGAGAAGAGGGAAAGCAAAGAGAAGAAGGAAAGCAAAGAGAAGAGAATTGCAAAAGACGAGCAGGACAAGCAAGGCGCGGCAGCAAAGCTGAAGGGAACTGAAACGGCCAAACCCAAGGACCCCAAAGACCCGAAGCAAGAGAGAATCATAAAGCGAGGCCCAGGCCAGAAGACCGAGGAAGAGAAGAAAGAAAGCAAAAAGAGAAGAAGGAAGCCAAAGACAAGAAGGAAGCCAAAGACAAGAAAGAAGCCAAAGACAAGAAAGAAGCCAAAGACAAAACAGAAGCCGAGGACAAGAAGGAAGCCAAAGACAAGAAGGAAGCCAAAGACAAGAAGGAAGCCAAAGACAAGAAGGAAGCCGAAGACAAGAAGGAAGCCGAAGACAAGAAGGAAGCCAAAGACAAGAAGGAAGCCAAAGACAAGAAGGGTGCAAGCCGTCACAAGACAGCCCGCGAGTCCGAGGAGGTGGGTGCAGTTTCTTTTGGTGTTCAGAACAGTTCTGCAGAGCATGGCATATTGCGTTGTGGTGCATGATGATTTTGAGCTTCTGCGTCCAGGATGAAGAATCCGAGAATGAGTTTGATCAAGTGGCCCTCTTGGAAGCACAGATAGCAGCTGAGGAGCTTGCTGCGTGCTCCCCAATGGCGTCAGAAGCCTCAGAAGGTTCCGAGAGTTCCGGTGACGAGGATGATGATGATGGACAGGCCGAATCGGAGGAGGCAGAGGAGCAGGACAATGATGGTGAATGTGATGCCGAGGAGGAAATCCTCCAGTCGCAAGAGTGCCACCTGGATGAAGAAGACATGCCAAGTGGTACCTCATCTGAGGCAGAGTCTGGGAACGAGTCTGAAGATGAAGAGCCGGCCCCCGACCCAAATTCCTTGAGGGCGGCCGCAGAAGAGGAGGACGAAGATATAGTGCGAAACAGCTCCCCAGATGAAACTTCGCTTGGGGTCTTGTGCGACTTGCAACTGTTAGGAATTGTGCTTCTAAGGTAAGACGCACAAGAAGGAATGGGCCGTGTTTGATCGGGCGATCAAGAATCGCCAGAAGTTCCCCGTCAGCCTGAGTTCCTACGTGGGCAAATCCAAGACGGATTTGTTTGGTGCCTGGCTCGATTGCAACGGCAATTGGGACGAGCTACGTGGCTGAAGCTATGGCACGTTTGTGTATTTGCACTCTTTGCCCTTGCTGTTGTCCGATACCAGACGTGATTTGTGACGCGCGGCACGTTCCCACTCAGGGTGAAGCTATGCATGGAACGAAAACATGAAAGGAAGAATCTGAACCGGCAAGATGTTGTTGCGGTCCAGGGCAAAGACTTGAAGCTGAAATACCCCGACGAGGCCCCCTTCCGTCTGTGTGCATGCTTCTTTACACGTTGCGTGTGTTTGCCAGGCCATGTACAAGCAGGTGATTGCCTCAAGAAAAGCCGAAGGACGGTGGTACAAAGACAAAGATTTCCCCGACAACGAGGATGTGTCTAGGTTGCGGTCAGTGTGGCATATTCGCTGCATGGTTTTTGTTTTTGCTGCATGAGAATTGGCTTTCTGAGGAAGCATGGTATTATATGCCGAAGGGCCACCTGCTGCGGCTGGACAATGCCACAAGTGAAAAGCAGCTGCTTCGGGCGGAGCAGAACATGGATGAAGATTTGGCAAAGATTCTCGAAGAGAACAATGTGCTTCAAGCGGGCACTTTGCCCGCTGCGCAGGCAGCCACCGAGGCTGGGGAGAAGGCCCTCTTGAGCCTCTTCGACGAGCCGGGAGGGATTCAGAAACGAATCCCAAAGACGAAGAAGGAAAAGGAAAAGGATGAGGCTGAGGAGATGAAGCCCAAGACCCTGAAAGAGCTGCTTGGTTGGATTTTAGAAATCAACTTTCTAAATGCATGCGGTATCCGTGGTTGATAGTCAATTGATCTAAGGCAAGTGGCAGAAAAGGAAGCCGAAATCCTGAAGGATTCTACGGAGGCTCGCAAAACCTCCATCACCCTGACCAAGCTGAACTACGGCGGCCAGCTATCCGAGCAGTTGCTCAAGTACTCGAAGCAGATGGAGTCTGCCTACAAGAAGATGTGTCAGCTGGACAAAGATGGAAACACAAAAGCTTTGAAGAAAGTTATGAAGTGGGCGGAGCAGAAGAAGCCATGGTTCAAGCAAGCCCAGGCACACTGACGTGCTGTTGGATGCAAACTTACATGTAGATAATGGGACATGTGCTTGGATTCGCAACCCATCCGCTTGCACGCAGGCCGCAGCAAACGGCCTGCAGTCTGGATTGAAATCCAAAAAGAAGGCGGCAGCAAAGAAGCCAGCCGCCAAGAGTTCCGCGAAAGCGGCTTGATGTGGCTTGAAGATGCACTGCACAGTGCGCGACGAGTCGGGGAGAACATTCTGTGGGATAGACTTGCCACACGGCAACCCCTCACAGGGGCATGCATGCACACTTGATGATTTGTGTGTGTTTTGGTGAACCCATCATAGAAGTTCCGAAGCTACATTAGGGAGAATGTTTCTCAAAGAAGTGTGCCATGCGTGTCACCGAATGTCTGGGCAAGCTCATTTTGGCCAGATGTGCAGCCGGCTTTGCAGAAGTGCATAGGATTCTGGGGAAAGACTGTGTGATGCTGGCTCTTTGCATGTGCGGCGGTCGGCTTTGCTTACTAGCTTTGGGAATTCTGATGTTGTTTCTGCTTTCATGATTGCAGGCGTGGCTGCTGATGACCTATCCAAGCCGAGGCTTGGTCGTTCTGATCGTCGTGTGCTTAGCTTGTACCGCTACAATGTTGCTGTCGTGTCGTTTCGAAGGCCGAAATGTTTTCGTCGGAGACAAGACTATTCCTCAATGCCACATTCTCATGCAGCAGAAGAGCTTCTGGAAATGATTGGTACTGGGAAGACCAATGTGGCTCATGCGCAAGGTTTGGCAGCAGCAATGGTTCGTGATGGAATACCCCAAGAAGCCGTGACTGCTTTTGCAAGTTTGGGCTCCTTCGGTGCCCATGGGTCGAATGCTGAACGAGACTTGCATAGGTGGCTTCGAGGCCTCTATGGAGTGACTTTGGAGCCATACTTTATAAATGTCATGCTTGAAAGAGACGATGACGTTGTTGATGACACTCCTTTGAAGGGGACGGTTTCCACGCGGATACCTGTGCTCCTGCCTCACGAGGTGTTCTCTGCGATTCATTCTTCAAGCGACTATCAGGTTCTGAGTGGGGACCAAATAAACATGCGTGGTGTGCTTTCAAAACGAGAAAGACGAGCAGCAAACGCTGTTGACATGTGCTTCCACGTACGTGTGCGTGTGAATAAGTGTGTGTGTGTGTGTGTGCGCAGTGCGTGTTTTCACTGGTGTGTCATGATGTATGAATGTCTCCTTGTTCCCTGGCAGTTTGGTTTGAGTATGCTGGGGCGACAAACACCGGCGGCGATCAAGGAGTTTTGGAAGCATTTGCAACGTTTTGCTCCGGAGGAAATGAAGGATCATCCTGCATTGGAATGCTGCGATCTAAGCAAGATGATACCGTTGCTCATTCACTTTGACGGTGCAGAAATGTATAAGAACTCTGAGTACAACATTTGGTCGTTTTCGAGTGCATTGGCATCATTGCTGGATGTGGATTGCCTGGAAACTCAATTCGTGTGCTGCATCCTCCCGCAAAAAGCTATGCAACAGAAGCAGGCATGTGCGAAGTTTCTTGTGTTTTCATGTACGGGTTGCATGATGGAAGTGCTTCATGACTACATTCGAAGGTCAAGAACTACGTGCACAAAGAAATCGCGAGGCTCATGAGTTGGTCTTTCGAAGTCCTTCAAAGGGGAAAGTTTCCATCGATGGGCTTCTATGGTGAAGAGTTTCCTTCTACGTCGTGCCGTGCGAGTCAAAGTGGCACGGCACTGGCTACTGAATGGAAGATTCTTGGATTGCAGCTATGGGAAAACTTCGAAGTGGCGGTGTGAATGTGCATACGTGTGTGTGTGTGCCTGTGTGTGTGTGTGTATGTGTGTGGGCATGCACTTGCTCTGTGTGTGTGTGCGTGTGTGTGTGTGTGTGTGTCTCTCTCTCTCTTTCTTTCGGCAGGGCTATGGGCAGACTCTCTCTCTCTCTCTCTCTNNTAAACCCTGAACCCCTTAAAACGCTGCAAGCAAACTCCTCGTTGGCTTACTTCGTTTTTTCTGGGTCCAAGTATCACTCACCTTAAATAGACGTTTGTAGAAAAATAGGAAACCCCAAAATAAAAGGGGTTTAAGGTTGAGGGCAAACGGCTTTGCAGGGTGCTACAGAGGCTTTCGGGTTTACGGTTTGGCGGTGTGTGCTCTCTCTCTCTCTCTCTCTCAGGGCGTGCTTTTATGGATTTCGTGGAGACCAGAAAGCCAGGCGGGAGTGTCACTATTTCTCTCGCCACTACAACTGCATCCTGCTGTGCGACCGATGTTGCGCAAAGACGCCGACAGAAAAAAATATGGATGACATGAACTACAAAAACTTTTCGGCAAATGCTCCGTATCTTCTCACGAGTATTGATCACAACATGTACCTCAACACAACTCCTGCAGCCGAACTTTCACCGTGGACGGCTATGCCAGGATGGAAGATTGAGAATACTTTCTTTGACTGGATGCATGTTGTGTTGCTGGGGATCGCAAGAGATGTGGTTGCTGCTGCTATCAAGCTGATGGCAATGCGGGGTGTGATTTCCATGCCAAACTTGCGCCAAGAGCTGAGAAGCCTTACAGTTTGGATCAAGAAGGAGCGCAAGAGCGAAACTGGGCCGCTCGGGGGGAGGGGGGGGGTGAACAAATTTTGTTTTGGCTTATGTTCCGTTGCTTCAATAATTTGTAATATTCTAACTTCCCAAACTGGGCCGCTCGAAGGGGGTGAACAAATTGTTGTTTTGGGCTTATGTTCCGTTGCTTCAATAGTTTATAATATACGGACTTCCCGTGTGAAGGGTTTCCTGCTCGTTGCCTGCGTTGACACCTGCGAACTCTGGGCTGGAGACCTGGAGTATGTATCCGGAATTGGGGAGCAGCTTCAAAGCTGCACAGATGAAGGTTCTGGTGTGGGGCATGGCGAGAAAGCTCCGGGTGGTGTTGCAAAACTATCAGGACCTACATGTATAGGGCAAGCATCATGTCATCAGATATTTGCACCCTCCCCCTATTGCTCGCCTCTCTCTCTCTCTCTCTCTCCTCCTGTCCGCTTCGTCTCTCACTGCACGAGGATGAGGAGTTGGTGCAAATGGCAATAGTGGTACGAGCACTCAACAAGGCCCAACGATTGTTGGACAACTCCGACTTCTTCATGACCGAGGGCGATTCTACAAGATTCAACGACCTGGTTCAATTACACCTGCGGACGTGGCAGCGGCTGGCTTTGAAATTTGAGGCCTTGGGTATCGCTTTGTGTAAAATCCGCCCGAAGCACCACTATCTTCAACACATTGGTCTGTATGTGGCTGCGACACGAGTGAACGTGCGAATACATCAAAATTTCAATTCAGAATCGTACATGGGCAAGATGAAAAAGATTGCTGTGAAGTGCCATTCGGCTTCTATGATGCTGCGGGTGCAACAAAGGTATGTGCTTTACCTGGCTTTATCATGGGAGCGAGCAAAACGAGCATCTACTGGGGCCGCCGGTGCTGCACTTACTGGAAATGAGACTCTGGAAGAGCTCTTGCTCTGCGATTGGCAAAACGACAATAAAAGATCTTTCAGCAGCTCTAGCGCCGAAGCTTCCAAGAGACGATGCATCATGGGCATTACATGACGAAGCCACCCCTGCGATCCGCGAGAGCGCAAAAGCTTTCGAATGCGGTTTGCGCGGAGATTCTATAGGCTTCGAGGGCTTAGAAGTTCCACGGTGTGCAAAGCTGCTCCTGATGAGGTTGGGTTCGGGATTTTTTCGGTTCGGGTATAGAGTATAGCCGGCCAGACCCAAAACGAACGCCCCAAAACGAACGCCCCAAAAGCCCTCAACCCGAAACCCTGCAGCAGACGAACCAGGAGCCACCATATTCGTATGAAGTCACAATCACCCTAACTTTCTGTGATACAACATCAAAGCACTTTATCACGTTCGAATCGCGAGAGCATGCATATCATCTTGGCTATAGAACACGGTCTATATGACCCAGAAAAAACTCTGAATTTCGTCGTACACACACATACTCACGATACATGTGTGCATGCATGCATATACATACTGCACATACCACCCTACAAAACCCTATGAGTTTGGCTCGAATGTTGGCTCAAGTCAATCTAGCTAGCAGCTAGAGTGACTTCTCCAACATCCTGAAGTAATGAGGTTGGCTCGAATGTTGGCTCAAGTCAA